ACAAAAAAATTTTTCATTTCAAATGTGAACAGTAGTTTTTTTAACAGATTTAGTTACAAATCTGGCTTTTGGTATCCTGTAATAATGAGATAAAAATTTTAATTTAGCACTTTACTTGAATATTTAAGAGATGTACTCCGTTGCTAATTCAAATATTACAAATGCTGCTATTATAAGAATTTCCAGACAAGATCCATCAGTTTAGAGATGAGGCTTTGTTCCTTTACTTTTGATATTACAGAAAATCATTATGATGAAACCATATCTCACTATATTTTAATAGCATTTTCAAAAAAGGACTTATTTGTGTGTTCTTTCTGGATCTCTCCTGCAGGCCTTGGAACAATCACTATTTTTAAATTAGTCACTTTTTCTCAACTATTTCTGTGATATATTACTATTTCTCACTTTTTTTGCTGTTATGAACAATGACATTTTTGTGATGCTAAACTCTCACATGTTAATTCATTAATTAATGTTTAAGTTCTTAAATTGGGATTCCCATAATATTTTTCTCTTGTTGCATGTTAAAAGTTTCATTATTGTGTGACTTTTGAGGTCTTAAAAATGTTATTTATGCAATTTGAAGAGGTATATGATCTCAAATTCATGTTATTGCATAACTAACACTATAGTCTAATATCAACAACAAAATATGTTTTTCAAAATACAATATTTTAATTCATACAGAGCCCCTTACAATTAACTTTCACATCTTCAATTTTAGGGCAGGTGTTAATAAACCAGTCTAAAAATGAAAACAAAGTGCAAAAAATGATAATGTCATTTTAAATTACGTTTATCATTTTTCAATTTTTATTTTAATGGTTTTGATAGTGTAACAAAAGTACCAATTAAATATTTTTTTAAGTTAATAATAATTTAGAAAATTTTTGGAAAGTTTATTAAAGAACAATGTAATAAATTTATAGCTTTAACAGATTACAGGATTTATTGATGAATAATAAATAAAAATAGTGTTTTACTTTCTCAGTTTGTAATGTATATAACACGGGAAAATATTGTAATCATGTCAAATTTGATCCTCCGAGTTTTTTGCACATCTCCATGTTTTGAGACAATCTGAATCTAAAAGGCAAACAAAAATTACGTGTGTTGCAAGCAGCCTAACCCAGCAGCAATTGGAGGCTATTAGAAGATATATAATGATAGACATAGCCAAAACACAGAATTTTTCATGAGAGCCATCCATATAAAAAGTGCTATAAACAAAAAGCTGTAGGATTAATTATTGGCTCTTCTTCATTTGAACCATTATTGTTTAAACTTGTTTTTTGTCACAGACTAGCTTGTTGGAAAGCAGATGCTTACAGAATGTATCTCTTGAACTTGCTTCAATGTCACTCATTCAACCTAGAAAATAGTCACATGGTCACTTTCATAAATGGTTTGTTAACCAATCATTGTTGTGTGTCATCATTTCATAATGGACCAAATTTGCCTTAACATTGTCTTATAATACTTGTTTCCTAAACTTAGTAAGTAAACTAATTCAAAACATAGAAGTTTTGTAACAATAAATCTGTCTCCTTTAAGTAATGTTAACAATTTATTTATTTTTTTGGTGGTTATGTTGTAGGCCTATCATATCACTATGGGAAAGTGTTGTTTTAAAAATAATTGGTTACTGAAAAATGATGGCACAGGCTACAAAGTTGGCAAGTGGGCAGAGAAACACAGCAAAGATGAAGTATTTTGTAAAACATGTATTGCAGTGATGTCTACCAGGCATAGGGGTTTCCAGGCTCTCACCCAGCAGCCAATACATCTAAACATCAAGAGTTTTGTTGGTCAGTATTACAGCAACAATTACACCTCACATCTGGACCTATTAAAGTTGATAGTTCGTGTATTTCAGATGATGCATGTGATGCAGTAAAATATTTCAAATCATCAATCTTATCAACAACAGCTTCTGCAATTAGATTGTACAAGCATCTTCATCAACTGCTGAACTGATTTGGGTTTCAAAAGAAATTGCATGTAACTTTTCAGCAGCATTCATGTGATGGAATTTTTGATGTGTTCTGCAAAATGTTTCCACAATCAGTTCCTGAAATTTGTTCATTGAGCCAAAAGAAATTTCACTATATTATGAGAGATGCTTTGGCTCCCTATTTTAAAAAGCAAGTGCAAGACATTGGTGATGCTAATTATACATTGTATTATGATGATACCACAAATACTGCTGGATCAAAAGAACTGCAAACATGTGTATGATATTGGCCTGAGAATCAGAACAAAGTTTTAAGTCATTATCTTGAGACACATTTAACATGTCATGCTACAGGAGATGAGATATTTAAAAAGCTTGTTTCTGCACTTGAAAATTTAAATTTGTCAATACATAAGTTGTTGATGCCTGGAAATGATGGGTCTGACATAAATAAGTAGATCCATTGTCTCATTAATGAAGAGGTGACTGCGCTTCATCAGAAGAAACTTGTGGATGTTGGATTTTGCAATGTGCACATTTTACACAATGTATTTCGAGAAGGTCTTTCAAAGTTTGGTGAAGATGGGTCTGGTCTAATAATGTTGATACACAATTTTTTTCAGTGATACATTTATTCCACAGAAAAAGCTAGGCCTCATGACTTCTTTCTATCAAAGAGCTGCCATATTTTTAAAAAAGACTGGTATAAAAACAGAATTGTATTTTATCTGCTCTAGAGCACAAGTATTTATAAGTTTCACAAGAACACTTCAGAAAGAACAGCCATAAATCCACTTAATTTATAATAAAATAAGAATTATTTTATGCACCTTAATGGGGAGTGTGTGCAAAGCCTAATTCCTCAAATCTGGAAGTATAATGCAAGAAATATTGAGCAAAGAAAATTTCTTCCAATAAAAGATATTGTTTTTGAGTGTGTGCTCAAGGAGAACTAACAGGTCTGAGTGAATGAAATCAGTTGAAATTCCTGCAGAATGTACAAGAGCAATCTTGCAACTTGCCACTATATATTTGAAAATGCACCATTATCTGGACATTTACTTTGGAATTTTTCCTACCTTTAATCTGGTGAAAGAGAATCTAAAAGAAGTTGCAATGAGACTCTCAATCTTCAAGCTGTAGCTTCTACAACTTGAAGATGTAGCTTCTACAACTTGAAGATTGAGAATCTCTGAAGAAAGGAAGTGGCCACTGATAATTACTGGAGTCATTATATTTCAAAATGTTTTCCCTGGTGACTTGAAGTTTTCAAGGTAGTCAAGGCATCTTTAGCATTAGCACATGGAAATGCAGACACTGAGAGGAATTTCTCTGTATCCAGCAAGTTTTTAACAAATAATTGATTTTGCTTGTCAGAACTATGAATGCCATAATGATTGTCAAAGATTCCTTGAAATTGTTCAGAAACAATTCAATCTTGGTACTGATCGTAAAAGATTTGCTTTCTTTAACTCTGCTAGCATATACAAAATTATCAGATCTATTTTGATGAGAAGTGAAATAAAGATGAGAAGCAGAGGAAGGCAAAAGAACAGATTGAGCAGTCAAAATTGCAAGCCCAATTGAAAACAGAAAAACCTGAAAAAGGATGAGCAAAAATGAAAAGAAATCAGAAAAAGCATGTTACTTCTGGGAAAATGTTAGACTTGGCAACTGTGATAGGCTCAAGAAAGCATTGAAAAAACAAATTTTGAGGAAGTTGAATTAACTAAAGCAATAAAAAATCTCTTCCTAACCTGTTACCGGTGTATTCTCCTTCTATAAAATCGAAACCAACAAAATAGCTCTTTACTACTGTTTTTGAACCTTAACAACGGTTCTTCTTCAGGTATTTTTGAATTTCTGATGGAAATGCAGCTCGTAAAACATTAAATTCAAAAATATGTACGTTCAAATGCATGCTTCCCGTTTACGTCTTTGTTTGTCATGCGCAGTCAATTCCAATATGGCTATCGTAAATTACTGTTCATAAGCGCCTGCCACGCTACTGATAGCGTAATCTCTTCTTTATGATTGATGCATTGATTATATGTAAGGTTAGCTAAGTATATGCTGGCTGCCTCCAGCCACTTGATATGGTGTATGTGCCATGTGGTGTAAATAATTCTGGCTTTCTTAAATTCAGGGTCTATATTTGGATCAAATGCATGAATTGCCAGAGCCATCATGTTCCTTTGCTTCTAAATATCTGCAGTGTGTTCTTTCAGTCGAATTTCTAAGGATCGTTTGGTGGAGCCCACATACACAAGATTTCTATCCCATTTGCAATCTATAATCAGTATGCTGTAGACCCCTGATAGCTTATCCTTATCTGGTTGATCTTTTCTGTTGGTTAGGATGTTAAATATCGAAGCGCATCTTCTGTAGGCAATACATATAGGGTTATTTTTAGCTATCTCACCATATAGCCCTCTAATATGCAGATTATAAGTTACTGGAATGATCTTATCCATATTCTCCCTATGTGGTAGGTCTTGAGCTGGGTTTTGGTATCCATGTGTTAATTAACTTGCGTATGAGCTTGCTGTATCCATGATCAGAGGATATTTGATGTGTAAGCCGTAGCTCCGACTGTAGGGCTCACTCAGTAGAAGAGTGTGTGTGTGCTTTCTTAATTAGGGCTTTAAAGGTGCGACCTTATATTGTGGTGGGTCACATGACCCTACTGGTATGTATATGCCTTTTGATCCTAACTTCAGAATATAAATTCTGAATTTATTAAATAAATTTTTAATTTAGAATACTGGCTTTGACAAAGCCGGTATTCTGAATTAGAAGATAATTTTTTTATTAATCTGCTCTTATAATTATTTACTTATTAAATGTATTAATAAAGTTTATAAAAATACTTACTTAATCTGATTTGATTATTATATTTAATAATTATTATTCTTCAAATAAAAGTGTTGCTTTACAGAAGTAAAATGTATCTTATTTGTTATGTTTTTTTTTTAAATCATCAGTTTTATCTTTGATATTTAGTTATGGTTGATGTAACTTTACATGTTTACATTTTCAATAGATTCTGATGGCTATGAATTCATCATTGTTTCACTTGACAATAAGCAGTGGCATTTTGAAGCTACTAGTACTGATGTTAGTATAAATTTAAATACTTTTCTTATTGAATAAAGAAATAATATAGCTAATTATTATATCAGTTTGTTTTTGATGTATCTATTAAAATAATTAATGCATTTTTATTTCAAACAGGATAGAGAAGCTTGGGTGAGTGCCATTGAACAACAGATTCTCAACAGTTTGCAGGGTAATGAAAGTAGTAAGTCAAAGGTATGAAATTACAAAATTACAACCATTTTATAATTTTTCAAAAACAATAGTAATTTATTAGATGAAAATAATATCTATAATAAAACTTATTTGAAAATAGACACGTCTTAATAATCTGGTTGATACTGCATCAATTCAAGCTATTCGGACAAGCATACCAGGAAATACTAATTGTGCTGACTGTGATGCACCCAGTAAGTTTTATTTAATTCTCTCAGAATCTATTATAATCTTTAAAAATTATTAAGTAAGACCAAATTAGTTATTATTCTCATGTTCTGGCAAGAATTAAAATACTTTTGCATTTATCATGAAATGGATTTTTCAAGGCATTAATTTCACATTATAGGGGCATGCACAATGGGAGCTTTTCTTGCTTTCAGAAAAGTAATAAATCTAAAACTTTTCAGTATTGTCAACTACAAGTGTTGAAATTATCATTTCATCTTTATTAGTCATTTATTGTTTGATGTTATTGTCTTTTTAAGAGAATTATTTTGTACATTTTTATAAGTTTAAAAATACAACTGCTCAAAGACAGCTTTCCTTTAAGCTGATTGCTTTTGCCATAGAACCTCTATTAACAAAATGAAGATTAAGAGAAGTGATGCTTTCATGACTTTTAAGAAAGCTGTGAAAAACAGCATAGCAAGAAAAGCTATAGATAATGAATATCCCTTATGAAATTTTCATTGACTTTTTTAACAGCTGAGTATAATTATAACATCATTTCATTTTATGATATTTGTCAAGAATGAAAAATTTAAAACTTCTAAAAATTGTACATGTATTGATTTTTTAAATGTTCTACATTATAAAAACCTATTTGATACATTTTTTTCATTATTAATATTTATTTGATCATAAGATATGTTTGTTTTAGATCCAGATTGGGCCAGTTTGAACATTGGAGCATTATTATGCATTGAATGTTCAGGAACTCATCGTAATTTAGGATCTCATATATCTAGGATTAGATCATTAGATTTAGATGAATGGCCGTAAGTATAAGTTTGAAATTTTTAAGGTATTTAAAGGGATGACAATATTTTGTAATACTAAAATTTTCTTTCAAATTATTTTATATATAATAATTTAATACAATAAGTAATATATCTGATTTTTAAAACAAATGAATGTAGTTACTCTTAAAAAACTCGCTCACATAAATGAAGACAACACCCAAAACCCAAAAGTTTAACTCAAAGTAGTAATTTTACTAATGTTTTCATTTGTAATAGACACCTTTAGGTAAAATACATAGAAAGCAGAACTAAATGAAAATAGAAAACATAACTTAGCTGATGTTCTGCGTAGCTTTATAACAAATATATAACAGGACTTGGCCAACAAAGCCTTCTTCAGCCAATTACTCTTCAAACACTAGAAAAATTATTTTACCTAGTAGATGCTTGTTACAGACAAAAATGTTGTTAGAATTATTGTTTTTGAGTTAAATTGTGCTGGTTTCAGAAATTAATGTAATTTTCTCTCTTTCCGAGTTTTACATAAAATGTATTTGACTATGCAGAAATTGTATGAAATAAAATACTTGTCAAATGTATTTTTAATATTTAAAATCTTTGATATTTTTTTTTTTTTATAAACATTGTAGTAATTTGCATTAATATTAATAAATACACTGTTGTGTTTGGTTTAAGTTGACATCTACTTTCTTTTTAAAAACCTTGAATGTTCTTATTAATCTGTTTTAACAGAATTGTTATCATAAATTAAAAAACAGTCATTTTATTGTGATTGTGTGCAAACAAATATGTCAATAAACTTTTTAGAAGAGATCAATTGGATTTGTTGATTTATTAGAGAGAGATTTTGAATTCTGTTCATATGTCTGGATTGATTTCTGTTCTAAAACTGAGTAAAAAAACTTAATATGCCAAACAATTGCCAGATTATCTGTTAGGCTATATTAAGACCTTAATATGACCCAGTAGATAATCCAGCAGTCATTTGTTAATTTGAATATATTGGATAGTATACATATATAATATGCATTCAAATATCTAATTTAAGAAAGTTTATTTAAAATTTATTATAAATTACTTTTTTGTGTAAATTAAAAAAAAATTTTAAATTAAATAATATATTACAGACCTGAACATATCAGTGTCATGATGTCATTAGGTAATACTATAGCTAACAGTATATGGGAAGGGAATATTCGTGGAAGAGCCAAGCCTACTCCTAATTCTAGCCGGTAAGTTATGAAAGTTTTTATTCAAACATTTTGAAACAATTAGAAAAAAAATTTTGAACTTATTTGTTTAGTATAAATACTAATAATTAAAAAAAAAAAACAATTAGACAAATTCTAACAATGAATTACCAAGTCATTAATTAAGCTTTACATATATTGGCAGTCCATGATTGGTGTTATACAATACTAATCAGGGATTTATATCTAAAGGTATAATCCATTGACAATATCTCCTTTGAGGAACTGTTGTAAATGGAATATATAATTACTGTTAGGTCATCCAGGCACTAATAATCATAAGTTATAACTTATGGTTTTTTAACTATGATTTTTTAGTGCCTAGATATCCTAGTTTAGTTATAATGTTGTTGAATGATTTATGTTAGTCTCCAAATATTTGTGTATAAGTTATAATACTATTTCAATAATTAAAACTGTATAAAAGTGGTGTTAATAGTGTGTATTTTTTACATAAATACATATTTTTGAGCAATTATAATACAAATTAAATTAGTGTTGAGTTCCTTGTGTTGTAATAGCCATTGTCAAGCCTTTTTGTTGTTCTTATTTGATAGTGGTTTAACATCTGTTGAAAAACTTACATTATTAGCATAAGTATTATATATTCAGAAAATTATAAGCCAGTTTTTCTATTTTATGAATTTTTTTTTTGTTTCAAATTGTTATAATTTGGATCATTGTAAATCAGACTGATAGTATTTGATTTGATGTTTATTCTTAAATATTCTTAAATGTTTATTCTTAAATATTTTCAAATCAAATACTATCAGTCTGATTTTACAATGATCCAAATTATTTTCAAATCAGTTTTTAGAAACTCAGATTTTTTTAAGTTTCAAAATTTTTAATAAATGTTTTCCTTTCTTGTTTAATTAATATTTATATTATTGTTATGATTTTCTTATATTTTGAATTTAGTGTATAAAACTTCCTAAAGTAAAGCATATTTGTTCTTCTATTCTTGAAATTATTTAACAGTAAATAATAATTTATTATAATTTAGTATTGTTAATAAATACTGTTTATATATTTGTGTGACAGTTTTTGATTTCTGAAGACAGCTATTTACATTTGATTTAATTCATATTAAAAATTTATATTCATTTTATTAAACATTTGATATTTATGAATTAAACGAAAAGAATAAGTATTTTGTTTTTATCAGTGAAATAAGATTTAAAGCCTGAAATAATGAAGACACAAGTGAAGAGTTAACTTTTCTTGCTTCCTGACTACTAATATCTTTAGAAATTGCAATATATAATAATTAATAAAATATAATTAAAATATTATAATGAATGTTTAATAAAAGTTATCGAAATTATAGAGAAGAAAAAGAAAGGTGGATAAGATCTAAATATGAATTAAAAGAATTCTTAGCATCAACAAATTCTTCTATGACAATTGGACAGGTGAGATTTTACTACTTAAAAAATTTTAAATAGCAAATTATAAATGCTCTAAAGTAAGAACTTAACGATAAAATATATTACGCCAATTATATATTTATTTTTTTGCAATCTCCCAAAAAAAAAATTATTTGCAGAAATTTCTTACTTTTAAATGTAGTGATATGTGATTGGTAACACTATATAATTTGTTGTGATGCATGCCTTATTCTTATATACTGTACATGTGTATATATAAACAATATATACATTCATTTTTGAACATTCTTAACAGATAATTTTTAATATTCATGTTACACTACTACTACTCTAATGTAATACGATAAATGAATTACACACAATTTTTGTTTTGAATGACTATTTTAAAAATTACTAGATAAATGGACTAAAAGAGAAAATAAAAGAAAAATGATGATAATTATAGAAAACTATTAGAATGCAAATATGTACTGATTACTTATTATAAAGTGTTATTTGAAAAAATAAAAAGTATAGTAACAGAATTTAAAATACAATTAAACATTGTTTAAAGTAAAGACTAATAGAAAATAACAAAAAAGTTAAAGTTAGATGATGATTAAAGGAAAAATGTTTATTTAGTTCCATGCACATGCCAGGATCCATACATTTATATATGAGAAATAAAGAGAAGTTTACAAGTTATAATTAATTCAATAATTCGTTTTTGTTCTTTAAAGTGTAATATTCCTTGTTCAAGAAATGTTCCTTGGCAAAGTTAAGATACAACTTTGAATTTGCCACCTTCTCCTCTCTGTGCATATTTTTAGATGCAAGGACACACTCACAATCTGCACAAGAATATGCATACATCTTAATTTTGCAGAAAACTGAACAAGTAGAAATCAAGACACTTTTCTCATTCTAGTATTTGTTTTTATGTTAAATACACTTTCAACATATGATGGGGCTGTGAATGATAGTTCAATATTTTAACATGCATCAGGCAATCCAGATGCCAATAAGCAAGGCACTTATGGACAGCAGCAAGTTTTTTTGAACTCATTCAAGATTATCATAATCATTTCCCTGAGCTGCTAAATCATTATTTAAATTTAAAAATTATTAATGTGGGAAAATGTTAATTAGTATTGTGATATTTTTTCCAGCCTTAATTAATGTTTTGAAAACATTATTAATGCTGATACAGTTCTTTTAAACTTTTATGTGATGATTAATTTTTTATGTCAGATTCTTTCTTCTTTCATACTCCATGGAAACTGCAAGGAGATATTTCTTTTTGCTTCTAAATGTAATCTATTTATTATGATTTTTCATATAATTTCAGGTTTTAACTTTTAATATAAACTGATGTAATAGTTAACGGTAATTCATTAAGGCTTTTAATACATTATTATTATCTGAATGAGTTTAATTTTACATTTTTGCAGCAATTGATTGATTCAGTCTGCAAGTCAGATATTAAAAGTGTAGCCTTAGTCCTTGCTCACGTAACAAGTCCTGACCAAGTCAATGTTCCTGTTAGTCCCAGAGATATGCGCTTACCTCTTCATTTAGCAGCTGCTCTTGGAAATTTGGCAATTTGTCAACTATTAATTTGGGTAAGTGTTACACACATATATATTTTTAATGGTCTTAATCAATTGATATATGAAAAATTAAATAAATATAACATGTTAACTGCTATACACAGAGTAATAACCATTATATATTGTTTGTTTGTTGTGAAACCATGTTTGTTGTGAAACATTTAGAAGTGTTGCACACTAGATCATGTTTTAAAAACATGAACTAATGTTCAACACTTCTAAAAAAAACCATAGTCTGACTTTTGATTATATATATCATATACAGGGCTGGTGCCAGGGTATTTTACACCCTAGGCAAGGTTTACAGATGTGCTGCTTATTTCACAAGTTAGATATTATTAAAGATATAATAACATAAAAAATATAAATTATTTTGGCATGCTTTTGTTAATTTAATAATATACAAAGTAATATACGATATGTATAACATATGAAAATCAAATTTTAATTTTTCGTGCTTTCAATTTTGCAAATTTTCCACTTATTTTTAATCTAGTTTAGAAGCTTGCTTGAGTTTGATTGAAATTGTTGCCAAATCTGTTAACCTGTTTTGGGACATTGTTGAATGCAAGTATGTTTTAACAAGTTTAACTGTGAGAAACTATGTTCTCCACTTGCTACTGAAACTGGAAGTAGGAGAATTCTTAGTGCAACAAAAGCGTTGGGTATGCAGTCAATAAGCTTTTGCTGTACTATAAAGAATACTACTACTTATGGTGGCATGGATTTTGGAAGTCTTTGAGCTACTGCTAAGATCCTCAGCATTAATATCTTTCTTGAAAACATTTTGATTCACAATACTATTATTTTTGCAATTGTTTAGTACATCAGCAGTTGTTTTTTCAGTGATATTATATATATCATAAACAAATCCAAATAGAATGCTATGCTGCTGTAGTTGTTCGAACCTCTCTTCAATTGACTGTATAGCCATATCCAAGACACAATAGTAAAATCCTATTTTGAATTTCTGCTGAGGATTTTGCAAAGCCTCATCTTGACATTCATATTTGAACTGTCAACTTTGTTTTCTCTTTGTTTATTTGTATTTCAAAATTCAGTTTAATTTCCAATTCTTTTGCAATTTCAATAGCATCAGTCAAAACTCTTATCAAGTTCTACATTCTAGAAGATATTTTTGGTTACTTGTAGTTGCTTTGTAACTGAATTTAAATCAGCATCTTTTTCTCTATATTATTTTACTTGAAGTATCTACCTCATAAAGTATGATGTACCATACAAAAAAGGATACGGTGAACTTAAATTTACAAATAGAATCAACAATGACTTTCGCTTCGTATCTGGTAATATTTCAACTTGAATTATTTAATATCAAGTCATCAAAAATTTGCACAAATACATCATATATACTGACAAGATGGTATCTTAGTGGTTTTGAAGTCTCTCTATGGCTTTTCCATCTTGTGTTACTCAACAGTTTAATACTTAAATCCAAGATACAAGTAGAAAGAATTTGCCAATGACAAGTAGATGCAGAGAAAGTTATAAATCTGTTGAATTAAAGTAAAGAAACTGGTTGTATCTAAACATCATCTGGAAGCATTATTGACCACTAAATTTAAAGTGTGTGAACAATAAGAAATAAAGAAGGCCTGAGGATTTACATCTAGAACCATCTTTTGAACATCATTTTCTTTCCCATCATCTTTGTGTTACTTTCATTATCATATCCTTGACTATAGAGATTCTTGATTGGTAATTCCAGTTGCCTTAGATGTTCAATTAAAGTTTCTGTTATGAATGAACCTGTAGTTTTCTCTAGAGGAACAAATCCTAAAAATTGCTATTTTGCTACTACCTCAGATTTGGACATCTCACTATGGAATGACAATATCAACAAAACGTACAATCATTGTCAGCTATTCAATATGGCTAACATCTGTACTGCAATCCAAGATGATTAAATAATATTTTGCTAATTTTACAAGGGATGAGATATTATCTTTTATAGCATTTGCAAAGATTTGTATAAGCTCATTTTGAATATCTTTTCCTAAATAATGGGTCATTCTTTCTTGACTGTTGGCTCAATGTACATGTTCTTTTATTACAGGATCAAAGAGACCTAAATATTTAACAAACTTCAAAAAATTACCGTTACTGGCAGTAAACTTTTCATTAGTACTGTGAAATGCAAGATTGTATGTGTCAAGTACTTTACCTAAAGCAGTCAAATGTTCCAGTATTTGACCCCAGTATTATTATTGTTCTCTGATTGTTTGCTGATTGAAATTATCAAGAGTTGTTTCAGTGATTAATCGCAATTAGAGTTCTTTCCAAGTTTTATAGTTTTCCAAATAAACAGTACTCCTCTCATGTGAAGAAAGTCCTCCTGGAAGGCATTGCCCACATATTGCATTGCCTTAATCAAACAAACAAACAAATCATTTAGTTATGGAACAAAAAAGAACCAAGAGTTAAATAGTAAAATATTGTGAGGGATAAGGGAAAAGAATCAATACTTAAATCATATGTCACAATTTTGTTATTAAGTATTTTGTTAGTAAAGTATGAATAAAGCATATCTTGGAGTTTTGCACCCCTTCATCGCTTGTGTCCTAGGCAGTTGCCTAGTTTGCCTATATGGTAGCACTGGCCCTGATCATATGATCTGAGCGAATATTTATTTAATAGTTGACAGTGTATGTAGTGTCATAAAAAGGGAAAACACTTTGGCAGTTAATATGTTAAAAAAAAAAAGAGTTTATATATACATGTGTGTTTTTTTTATTCTGACAGTATAATGCTAACGTGAAAGCTATAGATTCTGACGGTAGGAGTCCAATGGTCTATGCAAAGAATGCAGGCTCACAAGAGATTCAAGATCTGCTGAGAAACAATGGATGTCCAGATACTGTCGTTCACACTTCAAACACCATGCCAAAAAGAAGAGGTAGTCTCTCCCAAAAATCTTCAGAAGTATTTGACAAATTGCCTGCTAGTATTATATAAAGTCAGTAATTGTGGCCAAACAATAACATTCTGGAGAAAGGGAAAGCTTGAGAAGTACATTAACCATACCAGCACATATCTAATGCCAAAAATGTATAGAGATGAGTTTTTATTTTCTCAACACAAGATAGTATTAATGCTTTTAAAAAGGCAGCTTATATAAATATTTTTTGCAAGTAGGAGATATTAATGTGCAATTTTGACTGAATTTTATTACAGAAAAATTTCTATATCATTTAGAATTGCTGCCAACCTTTGTATACTGTGATCAGAAATATTTATAGTGATGAAAATCTTCCCACCCTAAACATAAATTTTATCTCTGAATTAATCAAATATTTTAGGATTTTTTATATATATTTTTTCCTCTCCTTTACAAAAGTCGGACATTATTTAAATTTTCGATAGACAATCTATATAATGTTCAAATTGAACCGATATTTAAAAAAAAAAACTTCTCAAAGCGTAACAGGGTAAGCCTTGCTGGTCCTTTTATTCGAGATATAAAGATATTTTAGCAAATAATTGCTTCTTAACATATTGCCTTTAGTCCAGATCGCTCATCAATTGATTATATTTGGAAAAAATCTTAGATTTTACACTGCCAGTTATCTTCTAATATGAGCGTTATTTATAAAAAGCCATGTATTAAAACATAATTTTTCTCTTTACAAAATTATAAAATGTACTAAACTTACTAAGAGTTTGAAAATTTATTCCAAAAATAAGAAAATGATAATTTCTTAAGATTTTGCAAATTTGTCTCCAAATACCTGCACTTGTACAGAATTTGTATTATTTGTACAGAAAATAAATATTTATAATAATCAATGAAAAATAGAAAGCTAGTTGTCTAACATGACGTATAAGAAAAGTCAATGATCTGTTAAATTAAATACACATTGAGCTGATCAAAAAGAAATATTATATATGATAAAATTCTACAATTTGTATAATTTACTTTTGCCAGAAAGAGTTTTTTTTTGAGGAAAGAAAAACTCTGCAGTTTTTTGTAAATATGTAATTATAATATATAGAATAATATATTATTTTCATTCTTTCTATTACATTTCTTCATCTAGTCTTCCCCAGTTTATGTAAAGGGGACCACAATCTTACGAACTTGCAGCATACATCATGTTATAATCAATTCATGTTCTCACTGTGTGCTTTTGTACAAATTAGTTTAATCTGTATGATGTGTGTTTGGTTTTGTAATTTGTATAATAATTGCACCTTGTTATTGTGTACATGTCATTTCAATGTTACAAATTATATAATTTTTTTTCTTTTTTTTTCAAATAAATGTACTAAATACTGGATGTTTTTCTCGTATCTTTATTGTTTTATTTACAATTACAGAATATTAAAAGCAGAAAAACTGTGTAATTATTAATTTATAATTAAAAATTATGTTATTTATTACTTAATTAACCCTTTACAAGTTCATTCATAAAAATTTTAAAGGATGTTTTAAATTCAAACAGATGACCTACTACTGTTTCCCATTAAACTATTAAACACAATTTACAAACTTTAAAAGTCAGCAAACTTTTCATTAACAAGCATTCAATTATTGGAGATAAGCTAATAACAGGTATTTTAAAACTTTTTCATATTCTATAGATTTTAATTTATACATTAGATGATGTGTTGTCATGCAGTTATGTTCTTTTTCCTGGCAAAGCGTGTGTGTGTGTGTATATATAGTTAAACTTTTAAAAAGAAACATCTGTCAGCAGAATCTATTGAATAGAAACTATTCAAAAAAATCAATAAAAATCATAAGTATCCAGAAATCATTCCCTAAAATGTGTCTTCATTATCTGTATATCTTGGACAAAAAAATAAATGGTTTTTTCCTAAAACAGAAAGAATTGAGAATTTTTTTGCCTAGTAGATTGTTAGAATAGTTGTATATGTGTATTTTTAACCAACAAGTTAGTTGTTATATATTGATACATGAAGCCTCCTGTAACAACAATAAAATTTCATTGTAACTGTTTTAACAAATTAAATAATTCTGTTGGGAATATTTCTTTATTCATAAGAAAATTTAGGAGGAAATTTGTTCATTTTATATAGTTTTTATTGTGGTTTAAAGTTTTTAAAAATTGATTTTATGTTTACATTTTAGTTAATAATATAAAATTAAGAAAATTATTTTAAATATTACTTCCATTTGCAAGTTAATTTCTTTTATAAATTATTTTAAAGTTAATTTATTTCATGGTAACTTTATTCTAAAATTTAGCAAATGATTTTAAATTTGTTACATGTTCAGTTCTAAAGTTGAACATAGTCCAAATCAAAAATTTTTTTTTTATCTACATTGTATTTAAGCTATTTGTAATTTTTCTGCATCTTATGTTTGGAAAGATGATTCATTACACACTGCATTAAATATACTTAAAAGTTAAATGGCTTATTGGGATATTCCTGATTTCCAGGTTTTTAGCTGTCATATATTAACTGCCTTACCCAGCAATTTGAATACCTGGGCCTGTAATTGGTATATAGTCTGGGTCTAAATTTTTTGCCAGTTTGATACTTACATGGACTTGCACTTTAGAGTCGAACTATCTATATATCATTCATTTTGTATTTACTGCAGAAGAATAGCCATTTTGTAATAAATGGTGATTTGTTACAAAATGATTTGCAGCAGTTTGGTCTTTTAAACTATTGTATCATATCAAGTTTTGTACATTCTCAAATCAGTGTATATTATAAGTATCAACTTCATTAATAAATCTTGACTTGATTTTTTGAAATGCTTATAAATTTAGGCACAATAAAAGTTTAAATTTTAAATGCTCTGTTTTTTTTATAGTTGTAACCACGTTCATTCATTTTCACAATTAAATTTATATATATAGTTTTCATATTAGTAATAAAGTGAAAGCACTAATAGTAACATGGATTCAATTTCTTCAGAATAGTATATGAGAGACAGTTCTTTGTAATATATTAATTGTTTACAAGCTTGATGGAGGATATATAAATCCATTTGACTTTAACATTTATGAAATGAACAAAATGAATTTTTTTTTCCTTTTCAGATTTTTCTCCAGTTTTCTATGTGATCTCAATTGTTGAGAAAATCCTAGGTATAAAAATGAAAAGGCTATATCACGGTATACGCGCACATTATTTCCAGATATCAAAATGTTTAAAAAAAATAATCAAATGCGCTCTTGACTTCAAAAGACTGCCTTATAGATCATTTACATATATTCAAAAAGAAAACAGTAGGAAAAATCTATAATAGAAAAGCCATAAATACGGTTGCTGGTGCATATGAGCTGCCTTTGTGCAAATTTTAAAAATCCTTTTACTTGAAAGTCATGTAATTTTAATTGATTACGAAAATCACAAGATACAAGACAGATTGGTGTGGGAAACAAAATTAAAGTGATATTGAATACGACAGGTTTGAACTTGTCAACATTCCATATCCAACCAATCAATTTTAATTCTGAAGGTCAAATGAGGCAATTGGTGGCAACAGCAATCGATGTTAATGTCATTGTAATTTTGTCATAAACATGCATCCCGTTAACACCATACCAGATGCTGGATTAAGAAAGAAGAGGCTCGACATAAACATTTTGATATCTGGAAATAATGTGCGCGTATACCATGATTATCGCCCATGAAAAATTTCTGGGAATTTTTCGGAATCATAGGTCACCCGGACAGTAGACCGATACCTAAACTGTCTTGGCCATAGGGCCAGAATTGGGCTTTATGGTAAAAAAAATTACAAAATTAAATTTGCTGTAACAGCAACAAATGTTATAAGTTGATCACTTTAAATTTATACAGGAACTTCCCTACTTAAGAATTTTCGGACTTAAAAAATTTGGCTGTACGTCTAAAACTTAAATTTCATATGTTCTTGCTGGTCGTGGGGTGGTGTTAAACCCAGTCTTTAACCAGTAATAGAAATAAATCCACTTTAATTATTTATCGCATATCGTCAATTTTTTGTTTTTGCGCGAATTATGACATTCTATTGCCAGTGTCACAGTTGGTAACGTTGGACTAACGGTGTTTTTCACTGTTTGCAATTTTTATAAACTTTTACGATTAATGCTTCAGAAATGCGTAATAGTAAATTCAGTAGTGGAAATAAATGCGTCGCTCTTTTACCGTGGAAACTAAACATTTCGCTATAAAAGTAAGCACATTAGGTAAAAAAAAAGAAAACTGTGTTTGAAACATTCCTTCTAAGTAGTAGATAAATTTTAGAAAATAAAGAATCTGAAGTAAATGAATGCAGGCAAACCTTACAATAAACTAACATATTTCATACATATTACATGTTTTCCACATACAGCTTTCTCCCATAAAAATTAACCTTGGTTTTTAAGACCTAAGAGTCAACAGAATTTGAATTGCAGTGTAATAATAATAATTTTAAAAAACCAGCAAAGAATTGCGTAACTTTCCAGGCAAAAATTAAAAATTAGTGGTGACATTTGTTATAAAAACGTTTCTTTAATAAAATATAATATGAAATGGCAAAAGATTTAATTTTGAGAGTAGAGACGAATTTTATAAAAAAAAAAAAAAAATTGTAAATGCCAATAATGAGTAATTAAGCACGACCCCACTCCAGATATGACACATGACCACCACGACCTTTACTTGAAGTTTAGAAATTAATGTTAAAAGCTCCAAATAAGTTAACAAATTTATCATATTTGAAAGAATCTACATTCTACAAGTTAACTGTATTTCAAGAGGAAATTTTTGAAAGTTCACATGGTGAAAGTTATACCAACATCTCTAAACCCGATATATAATATAGCTAAATACCAACCAAATGCCGAAATCGGCATTTGGTTGGTATTTAGAAAGTTATACCATTCTTTCGCTTCATTGTTAATTCGTTTCTGTCTTAGTAAAGCGTATTAATCGTTCAACATAATAGATCAGCCAGTTGCTGGAGTTGGTAGGCAGCTGACCTCACATGATGTTTTAACAGACAAAAACGTCAAGAAACAATGACGATGGACAATTTTTTTTTACAGAAACATGCCAACTCAAGATATTAACTTTAATGTACAGTACAGTACCATAGCACGATGATCTGTGTGACGATTCGTAAAAGAAACAAATTTTTATTCTGTTGTGTTATTCTTAATACAATTTTAATTACTGGTATACACAATATAAACCCAATTTCAGCGACGGCCGGATGGCCGAGCGGTCAAGATGGTAGCCTACCGCTCTGGGGAATCCGAACGGGTCAAAAATTCGTAGGAATTTCTCGGGGGTGATTCGACCAGATATATTGGGCTCCGTCCCTCACCACCATTGTGGACCAGGCCGAATCTATAATTGGCTTACTAAAAGAGGGCTCACACGGCGGAAAGATTAGTATAGAAATAGAAGACCCGACACACTATAAATAAAAAAGAGAAGGAATGTTAATTAGAAAAAGATTTCTGGAAAAATTTTTAACGTTTCTTTTTCTCTTGAAGAACCACTGGCATGGAAAAACAACATATTTTTTCTGCTCCATCTGAATATTTTTGTGTATAACCAAACATTCTGATGGTTGCAGATAAAAATATTTGTTTCAACAGTTGCTACAAACTCAGAAACTGCCAAAAAATTGAAGCTGTTTTTTTCTTAATCGTATCCGATCTAGATTTGCAACAGTTGAAAACACTTTAATGCAGTAAGCTTCTGTAAATTGATTTCATAAATGCATTTTTTTTAACTGCCATGTGGGCACTAAGAGGACCTTTATTTCGCAATCCCAAGGATTCATCCGGACACAAAATAGGGCTGTGAGGGACGGGGACCAACATATCAAGATAGATCACAAATCCGAAAAATTTCTGAGGTTTATCGACCCAACTGGAGTCGATCCTGTGTTCCCCAGAGGGCTAGACCGACACCTTAACCGCTCAGGCCACCCTTCTTCACACATCATTTAAAAATCTTGATTCTTCTTCTCTAGCTTGTTACGATGCAAGAACAACAATACTAGATTTTGGTAACCACTAAAAAGGGACTTACAAACAAATTTGTTATGTCCTTCTAATCCGACGTTCACCAGAGATCCATTCCGAAGACAATTTTAATTCACGGAGTGGTTCTTGACCTCTGGTGAACGTCGGATTAGGACGGCATAACAAATTTGTTTATTTCTCTATAAACCCCTTTTTAGTGTATTACCAAAATAAGTGATTATATTCTGCGAATATTGCTGATTTTAGCTTTATGTTAAATACTACTAGACCCACCAGTGGCCGAGTGGACAAAACCGCCGAACTGTGTTCGCGGGATAAAACCGCTGGTCGTTGGTTCGCGAGTTAGCCAGATAGTTTTTATGGCTTTTCTTTACATATTTAACATGAAAGTGGACCAACTTTTTTACAGGATGTTCTTTGGAAAATCACCCAAGTTTACTTATCCCATTAATTCAATGCAAGTGCTGATAGTCATAGCTCCAGTCCAAAAGAAAACAAAGAGACAGCATGTGGAAATTTCAACGAAGTCTTTTCGTTTGGGCTCTTCCATTACGTCCGCTGACGATGCGAGAGAGGTTCGTTGATTTTATAGATAGATACGGTCGTGAGTCATTTTAGACAAGTTTGGGTGTGAATGTGCAACTCGATCGTGTACAGAAAGGGAATTTTTAGGCATATCCTAAAGCAACTGGTACTCTGTCAGAGTTTAAGTTCTACAATAGACGTTTATGGTACCCTTTTTTTGCTTCAAAGCAAAGCATCAAAATTATGCTTAAATGCAACAGAGGAAGAAAAAAATTAGTTAAAATCGATTAAGTGGATATCTCTTGCAAAATATAAGGAAAATAATCATTAAAGATCCTTTATCCCCAAAGAGAATCGAACTTTTCTTTCTTGTTGATCACACGAAAGGTTTTAGTTATCAAGGGCTGTTAATCTAAACCAGAAGTTTAACAACAAACGTGTTTTAATAGTAAATATCGTAGTAAAATATAAAAAAATAGTTTTGAAAAAATATAAATGAAAATAAATCTGTTTTTATTCCAGTTTGACTGGAAATGATAGAAAATCGTATTTAAAAATTAATGGGTTTTAAATATGCAAACGGAAACTTTAAAGGTGAGGATTGCGTTTGATTACGCAAAGCGTATAATGTTAGATAAATAATCAATGGTATTTACGAGTCATTTTATGAATACAAATCGTGTAAAAGCAAGACTCACGAAGCGATTTCAACGTACTCAGAATCATTACAAAAATGTATAGTTGTTTCCAAACAATAAGTAATCAAGATTATGACCTATTTTTGTTTTACTCATAGTTTATCATTATATTTTCAACTAAGCATCTGCGAATAAGATCGATAAATTCTGTTCAATTTCTGCGATAAATCGCACTTTTAATCGCTATATTCGATCGCTGTATTCATTATTTACAAACAGACATTACAGTTCTAATTTAAAATAACACTGAATTTATGATGGAAATTAATTAAAATATTTTACATAAAAAAAATCTAAAATATAATGATTTAGAATAGATTAGATTCTCTAAACCTCATTACACTTTCTTACTCCAGAAAAAAACATTTATTCGTTACTTGAATAATAATGTAAATTTATCCATTTGGGTTGCAACATTCACCTTAGGTTTCCGTTATGCAATACAATTCATTTGCATTTCCTTTAAGGAAAAATGTCGAGTGTTTATATTCAATATNTATTTGATTTGATGTTTATTCTTAAATATTCTTAAATGTTTATTCTTAAATATTTTCAAATCAAATACTATCAGTCTGATTTTACAATGATCCAAATTATTTTCAAATCAGTTTTTAGAAACTCAGATTTTTTTAAGTTTCAAAATTTTTAATAAATGTTTTCCTTTCTTGTTTAATTAATATTTATATTATTGTTATGATTTTCTTATATTTTGAATTTAGTGTATAAAACTTCCTAAAGTAAAGCATATTTGTTCTTCTATTCTTGAAATTATTTAACAGTAAATAATAATTTATTATAATTTAGTATTGTTAATAAATACTGTTTATATATTTGTGTGACAGTTTTTGATTTCTGAAGACAGCTATTTACATTTGATTTAATTCATATTAAAAATTTATATTCATTTTATTAAACATTTGATATTTATGAATTAAACGAAAAGAATAAGTATTTTGTTTTTATCAGTGAAATAAGATTTAAAGCCTGAAATAATGAAGACACAAGTGAAGAGTTAACTTTTCTTGCTTCCTGACTACTAATATCTTTAGAAATTGCAATATATAATAATTAATAAAATATAATTAAAATATTATAATGAATGTTTAATAAAAGTTATCGAAATTATAGAGAAGAAAAAGAAAGGTGGATAAGATCTAAATATGAATTAAAAGAATTCTTAGCATCAACAAATTCTTCTATGACAATTGGACAGGTGAGATTTTACTACTTAAAAAATTTTAAATAGCAAATTATAAATGCTCTAAAGTAAGAACTTAACGATAAAATATATTACGCCAATTATATATTTATTTTTTTGCAATCTCCCAAAAAAAAAATTATTTGCAGAAATTTCTTACTTTTAAATGTAGTGATAAGTGATTGGTAACACTATATAATTTGTTGTGATGCATGCCTTATTCTTATATACTGTACATGTGTATATATAAACAATATATACATTCATTTTTGAACATTCTTAACAGATAATTTTTAATATTCATGTTACACTACTACTACTCTAATGTAATACGATAAATGAATTACACACAATTTTTGTTTTGAATGACTATTTTAAAAATTACTAGATAAATGGACTAAAAGAGAAAATAAAAGAAAAATGATGATAATTATAGAAAACTATTAGAATGCAAATATGTACTGATTACTTATTATAAAGTGTTATTTGAAAAAATAAAAAGTATAGTAACAGAATTTAAAATACAATTAAACATTGTTTAAAGTAAAGACTAATAGAAAATAACAAAAAAGTTAAAGTTAGATGATGATTAAAGGAAAAATGTTTATTTAGTTCCATGCACATGCCAGGATCCATACATTTATATATGAGAAATAAAGAGAAGTTTACAAGTTATAATTAATTCAATAATTCGTTTTTGTTCTTTAAAGTGTAATATTCCTTGTTCAAGAAATGTTCCTTGGCAAAGTTAAGATACAACTTTGAATTTGCCACCTTCTCCTCTCTGTGCATATTTTTAGATGCAAGGACACACTCACAATCTGCACAAGAATATGCATACATCTTAATTTTGCAGAAAACTGAACAAGTAGAAATCAAGACACTTTTCTCATTCTAGTATTTGTTTTTATGTTAAATACACTTTCAACATATGATGGGGCTGTGAATGATAGTTCAATATTTTAACATGCATCAGGCAATCCAGATGCCAATAAGCAAGGCACTTATGGACAGCAGCAAGTTTTTTTGAACTCATTCAAGATTATCATAATCATTTCCCTGAGCTGCTAAATCATTATTTAAATTTAAAAATTATTAATGTGGGAAAATGTTAATTAGTATTGTGATATTTTTTCCAGCCTTAATTAATGTTTTGAAAACATTATTAATGCTGATACAGTTCTTTTAAACTTTTATGTGATGATTAATTTTTTATGTCAGATTCTTTCTTCTTTCATACTCCATGGAAACTGCAAGGAGATATTTCTTTTTGCTTCTAAATGTAATCTATTTATTATGATTTTTCATATAATTTCAGGTTTTAACTTTTAATATAAACTGATGTAATAGTTAACGGTAATTCATTAAGGCTTTTAATACATTATTATTATCTGAATGAGTTTAATTTTACATTTTTGCAGCAATTGATTGATTCAGTCTGCAAGTCAGATATTAAAAGTGTAGCCTTAGTCCTTGCTCACGTAACAAGTCCTGACCAAGTCAATGTTCCTGTTAGTCCCAGAGATATGCGCTTACCTCTTCATTTAGCAGCTGCTCTTGGAAATTTGGCAATTTGTCAACTATTAATTTGGGTAAGTGTTACACACATATATATTTTTAATGGTCTTAATCAATTGATATATGAAAAATTAAATAAATATAACATGTTAACTGCTATACACAGAGTAATAACCATTATATATTGTTTGTTTGTTGTGAAACCATGTTTGTTGTGAAACATTTAGAAGTGTTGCACACTAGATCATGTTTTAAAAACATGAACTAATGTTCAACACTTCTAAAAAAAACCATAGTCTGACTTTTGATTATATATATCATATACAGGGCTGGTGCCAGGGTATTTTACACCCTAGGCAAGGTTTACAGATGTGCTGCTTATTTCACAAGTTAGATATTATTAAAGATATAATAACATAAAAAATATAAATTATTTTGGCATGCTTTTGTTAATTTAATAATATACAAAGTAATATACGATATGTATAACATATGAAAATCAAATTTTAATTTTTCGTGCTTTCAATTTTGCAAATTTTCCACTTATTTTTAATCTAGTTTAGAAGCTTGCTTGAGTTTGATTGAAATTGTTGCCAAATCTGTTAACCTGTTTTGGGACATTGTTGAATGCAAGTATGTTTTAACAAGTTTAACTGTGAGAAACTATGTTCTCCACTTGCTACTGAAACTGGAAGTAGGAGAATTCTTAGTGCAACAAAAGCGTTGGGTATGCAGTCAATAAGCTTTTGCTGTACTATAAAGAATACTACTACTTATGGTGGCATGGATTTTGGAAGTCTTTGAGCTACTGCTAAGATCCTCAGCATTAATATCTTTCTTGAAAACATTTTGATTCACAATACTATTATTTTTGCAATTGTTTAGTACATCAGCAGTTGTTTTTTCAGTGATATTATATATATCATAAACAAATCCAAATAGAATGCTATGCTGCTGTAGTTGTTCGAACCTCTCTTCAATTGACTGTATAGCCATATCCAAGACACAATAGTAAAATCCTATTTTGAATTTCTGCTGAGGATTTTGCAAAGCCTCATCTTGACATTCATATTTGAACTGTCAACTTTGTTTTCTCTTTGTTTATTTGTATTTCAAAATTCAGTTTAATTTCCAATTCTTTTGCAATTTCAATAGCATCAGTCAAAACTCTTATCAAGTTCTACATTCTAGAAGATATTTTTGGTTACTTGTAGTTGCTTTGTAACTGAATTTAAATCAGCATCTTTTTCTCTATATTATTTTACTTGAAGTATCTACCTCATAAAGTATGATGTACCATACAAAAAAGGATACGGTGAACTTAAATTTACAAATAGAATCAACAATGACTTTCGCTTCGTATCTGGTAATATTTCAACTTGAATTATTTAATATCAAGTCATCAAAAATTTGCACAAGTACATCATATATACTGACAAGATGGTATCTTAGTGGTTTTGAAGTCTCTCTATGGCTTTTCCATCTTGTGTTACTCAACAGTTTAATACTTAAATCCAAGATACAAGTAGAAAGAATTTGCCAATGACAAGTAGATGCAGAGAAAGTTATAAATCTGTTGAATTAAAGTAAAGAAACTGGTTGTATCTAAACATCATCTGGAAGCATTATTGACCACTAAATTTAAAGTGTGTGAACAATAAGAAATAAAGAAGGCCTGAGGATTTACATCTAGAACCATCTTTTGAACATCATTTTCTTTCCCATCATCTTTGTGTTACTTTCATTATCATATCCTTGACTATAGAGATTCTTGATTGGTAATTCCAGTTGCCTTAGATGTTCAATTAAAGTTTCTGTTATGAATGAACCTGTAGTTTTCTCTAGAGGAACAAATCCTAAAAATTGCTATTTTGCTACTACCTCAGATTTGGACATCTCACTATGGAATGACAATATCAACAAAACGTACAATCATTGTCAGCTATTCAATATGGCTAACATCTGTACTGCAATCCAAGATGACTAAATAATATTTTGCTAATTTTACAAGGGATGAGATATTATCTTTTATAGCATTTGCAAAGATTTGTATAAGCTCATTTTGAATATCTTTTCCTAAATAATGGGTCATTCTTTCTTGACTGTTGGCTCAATGTACATGTTCTTTTATTACAGGATCAAAGAGACCTAAATATTTAACAAACTTCAAAAAATTACCGTTACTGGCAGTAAACTTTTCATTAGTACTGTGAAATGCAAGATTGTATGTGTCAAGTACTTTACCTAAAGCAGTCAAATGTTCCAGTATTTGACCCCAGTATTATTATTGTTCTCTGATTGTTTGCTGATTGAAATTATCAAGAGTTGTTTCAGTGATTAATCGCAATTAGAGTTCTTTCCAAGTTTTATAGTTTTCCAAATAAACAGTACTCCTCTCATGTGAAGAAAGTCCTCCTGGAAGGCATTGCCCACATATTGCATTGCCTTAATCAAACAAACAAACAAATCATTTAGTTATGGAACAAAAAAGAACCAAGAGTTAAATAGTAAAATATTGTGAGGGATAAGGGAAAAGAATCAATACTTAAATCATATGTCACAATTTTGTTATTAAGTATTTTGTTAGTAAAGTATGAATAAAGCATATCTTGGAGTTTTGCACCCCTTCATCGCTTGTGTCCTAGGCAGTTGCCTAGTTTGCCTATATGGTAGCACTGGCCCTGATCATATGATCTGAGCGAATATTTATTTAATAGTTGACAGTGTATGTAGTGTCATAAAAAGGGAAAACACTTTGGCAGTTAATATGTTAAAAAAAAAAAGAGTTTATATATACATGTGTGTTTTTTTTATTCTGACAGTATAATGCTAACGTGAAAGCTATAGATTCTGACGGTAGGAGTCCAATGGTCTATGCAAAGAATGCAGGCTCACAAGAGATTCAAGATCTGCTGAGAAACAATGGATGTCCAGATACTGTCGTTCACACTTCAAACACCATGCCAAAAAGAAGAGGTAGTCTCTCCCAAAAATCTTCAGAAGTATTTGACAAATTGCCTGCTAGTATTATATAAAGTCAGTAATTGTGGCCAAACAATAACATTCTGGAGAAAGGGAAAGCTTGAGAAGTACATTAACCATACCAGCACATATCTAATGCCAAAAATGTATAGAGATGAGTTTTTATTTTCTCAACACAAGATAGTATTAATGCTTTTAAAAAGGCAGCTTATATAAATATTTTTTGCAAGTAGGAGATATTAATGTGCAATTTTGACTGAATTTTATTACAGAAAAATTTCTATATCATTTAGAATTGCTGCCAACCTTTGTATACTGTGATCAGAAATATTTATAGTGATGAAAATCTTCCCACCCTAAACATAAATTTTATCTCTGAATTAATCAAATATTTTAGGATTTTTTATATATATTTTTTCCTCTCCTTTACAAAAGTCGGACATTATTTAAATTTTCGATAGACAATCTATATAATGTTCAAATTGAACCGATATTTAAAAAAAAAAACTTCTCAAAGCGTAACAGGGTAAGCCTTGCTGGTCCTTTTATTCGAGATATAAAGATATTTTAGCAAATAATTGCTTCTTAACATATTGCCTTTAGTCCAGATCGCTCATCAATTGATTATATTTGGAAAAAATCTTAGATTTTACACTGCCAGTTATCTTCTAATATGAGCGTTATTTATAAAAAGCCATGTATTAAAACATAATTTTTCTCTTTACAAAATTATAAAATGTACTAAACTTACTAAGAGTTTGAAAATTTATTCCAAAAATAAGAAAATGATAATTTCTTAAGATTTTGCAAATTTGTCTCCAAATACCTGCACTTGTACAGAATTTGTATTATTTGTACAGAAAATAAATATTTATAATAATCAATGAAAAATAGAAAGCTAGTTGTCTAACATGACGTATAAGAAAAGTCAATGATCTGTTAAATTAAATACACATTGAGCTGATCAAAAAGAAATATTATATATGATAAAATTCTACAATTTGTATAATTTACTTTTGCCAGAAAGAGTTTTTTTTTGAGGAAAGAAAAACTCTGCAGTTTTTTGTAAATATGTAATTATAATATATAGAATAATATATTATTTTCATTCTTTCTATTACATTTCTTCATCTAGTCTTCCCCAGTTTATGTAAAGGGGACCACAATCTTACGAACTTGCAGCATACATCATGTTATAATCAATTCATGTTCTCACTGTGTGCTTTTGTACAAATTAGTTTAATCTGTATGATGTGTGTTTGGTTTTGTAATTTGTATAATAATTGCACCTTGTTATTGTGTACATGTCATTTCAATGTTACAAATTATATAATTTTTTTTCTTTTTTTTTCAAATAAATGTACTAAATACTGGATGTTTTTCTCGTATCTTTATTGTTTTATTTACAATTACAGAATATTAAAAGCAGAAAAACTGTGTAATTATTAATTTATAATTAAAAATTATGTTATTTATTACTTAATTAACCCTTTACAAGTTCATTCATAAAAATTTTAAAGGATGTTTTAAATTCAAACAGATGACCTACTACTGTTTCCCATTAAACTATTAAACACAATTTACAAACTTTAAAAGTCAGCAAACTTTTCATTAACAAGCATTCAATTATTGGAGATAAGCTAATAACAGGTATTTTAAAACTTTTTCATATTCTATAGATTTTAATTTATACATTAGATGATGTGTTGTCATGCAGTTATGTTCTTTTTCCTGGCAAAGCGTGTGTGTGTGTGTATATATAGTTAAACTTTTAAAAAGAAACATCTGTCAGCAGAATCTATTGAATAGAAACTATTCAAAAAAATCAATAAAAATCATAAGTATCCAGAAATCATTCCCTAAAATGTGTCTTCATTATCTGTATATCTTGGACAAAAAAATAAATGGTTTTTTCCTAAAACAGAAAGAATTGAGAATTTTTTTGCCTAGTAGATTGTTAGAATAGTTGTATATGTGTATTTTTAACCAACAAGTTAGTTGTTATATATTGATACATGAAGCCTCCTGTAACAACAATAAAATTTCATTGTAACTGTTTTAACAAATTAAATAATTCTGTTGGGAATATTTCTTTATTCATAAGAAAATTTAGGAGGAAATTTGTTAATTTTATATAGTTTTTATTGTGGTTTAAAGTTTTTAAAAATTGNATTATTATTCTTCAAATAAAAGTGTTGCTTTACAGAAGTAAAATGTATCTTATTTGTTATGTTTTTTTTTTAAATCATCAGTTTTATCTTTGATATTTAGTTATGGTTGATGTAACTTTACATGTTTACATTTTCAATAGATTCTGATGGCTATGAATTCATCATTGTTTCACTTGACAATAAGCAGTGGCATTTTGAAGCTACTAGTACTGATGTTAGTATAAATTTAAATACTTTTCTTATTGAATAAAGAAATAATATAGCTAATTATTATATCAGTTTGTTTTTGATGTATCTATTAAAATAATTAATGCATTTTTATTTCAAACAGGATAGAGAAGCTTGGGTGAGTGCCATTGAACAACAGATTCTCAACAGTTTGCAGGGTAATGAAAGTAGTAAGTCAAAGGTATGAAATTACAAAATTACAACCATTTTATAATTTTTCAAAAACAATAGTAATTTATTAGATGAAAATAATATCTATAATAAAACTTATTTGAAAATAGACACGTCTTAATAATCTGGTTGATACTGCATCAATTCAAGCTATTCGGACAAGCATACCAGGAAATACTAATTGTGCTGACTGTGATGCACCCAGTAAGTTTTATTTAATTCTCTCAGAATCTATTATAATCTTTAAAAATTATTAAGTAAGACCAAATTAGTTATTATTCTCATGTTCTGGCAAGAATTAAAATACTTTTGCATTTATCATGAAATGGATTTTTCAAGGCATTAATTTCACATTATAGGGGCATACACAATGGGAGCTTTTCTTGCTTTCAGAAAAGTAATAAATCTAAAACTTTTCAGTATTGTCAACTACAAGTGTTGAAATTATCATTTCATCTTTATTAGTCATTTATTGTTTGATGTTATTGTCTTTTTAAGAGAATTATTTTGTACATTTTTATAAGTTTAAAAATACAACTGCTCAAAGACAGCTTTCCTTTAAGCTGATTGCTTTTGCCATAGAACCTCTATTAACAAAATGAAGATTAAGAGAAGTGATGCTTTCATGACTTTTAAGAAAGCTGTGAAAAACAGCATAGCAAGAAAAGCTATAGATAATGAATATCCCTTATGAAATTTTCATTGACTTTTTTAACAGCTGAGTATAATTATAACATCATTTCATTTTATGATATTTGTCAAGAATGAAAAATTTAAAACTTCTAAAAATTGTACATGTATTGATTTTTTAAATGTTCTACATTATAAAAACCTATTTGATACATTTTTTTCATTATTAATATTTATTTGATCATAAGATATGTTTGTTTTAGATCCAGATTGGGCCAGTTTGAACATTGGAGCATTATTATGCATTGAATGTTCAGGAACTCATCGTAATTTAGGATCTCATATATCTAGGATTAGATCATTAGATTTAGATGAATGGCCGTAAGTATAAGTTTGAAATTTTTAAGGTATTTAAAGGGATGACAATATTTTGTAATACTAAAATTTTCTTTCAAATTATTTTATTTATAATAATTTAATACAATAAGTAATATATCTGATTTTTAAAACAAATGAATGTAGTTACTCTTAAAAAACTGGAAGAACTCGCTCACATAAATGAAGACAACACCCAAAACCCAAAAGTTTAACTCAAAGTAGTAATTTTACTAATGTTTTCATTTGTAATAGACACCTTTAGGTAAAATACATAGAAAGCAGAACTAAATGAAAATAGAAAACATAACTTAGCTGATGTTCTGCGTAGCTTTATAACAAATATATAACAGGACTTGGCCAACAAAGCCTTCTTCAGCCAATTACTCTTCAAACACTAGAAAAATTATTTTACCTAGTAGATGCTTGTTACAGACAAAAATGTTGTTAGAATTATTGTTTTGAGTTAAATTGTGCTGGTTTCAGAAATTAATGTAATTTTCTCTCTTTCCGAGTTTTACATAAAATGTATTTGACTATGCAGAAATTGTATGAAATAAAATACTTGTCAAATGTATTTTTAATATTTAAAATCTTTGATATTTTTTTTTTTTTTATAAACATTGTAGTAATTTGCATTAATATTAATAAATACACTGTTGTGTTTGGTTTAAGTTGACATCTACTTTCTTTTTAAAAACCTTGAATGTTCTTATTAATCTGTTTTAACAGAATTGTTATCATAAATTAAAAAACAGTCATTTTATTGTGATTGTGTGCAAACAAATATGTCAATAAACTTTTTAGAAGAGATCAATTGGATTTGTTGATTTATTAGAGAGAGATTTTGAATTCTGTTCATATGTCTGGATTGATTTCTGTTCTAAAACTGAGTAAAAAAACTTAATATGCCAAACAATTGCCAGATTATCTGTTAGGCTATATTAAGACCTTAATATGACCCAGTAGATAATCCAGCAGTCATTTGTTAATTTGAATATATTGGATAGTATACATATATAATATGCATTCAAATATCTAATTTAAGAAAGTTTATTTAAAATTTATTATAAATTACTTTTTTGTGTAAATTAAAAAAAAATTTTAAATTTAATAATATATTACAGACCTGAACATATCAGTGTCATGATGTCATTAGGTAATACTATAGCTAACAGTATATGGGAAGGGAATATTCGTGGAAGAGCCAAGCCTACTCCTAATTCTAGCCGGTAAGTTATGAAAGTTTTTATTCAAACATTTTGAAACAATTAGAAAAAAAATTTTGAACTTATTTGTTTAGTATAAATACTAATAATTAAAAAAAAAAAACAATTAGACAAATTCTAACAATGAATTACCAAGTCATTAATTAAGCTTTACATATATTGGCAGTCCATGATTGGTGTTATACAATACTAATCAGGGATTTATATCTAAAGGTATAATCCATTGACAATATCTCCTTTGAGGAACTGTTGTAAATGGAATATATAATTACTGTTAGGTCATCCAGGCACTAATAATCATAAGTTATAACTTATGGTTTTTTAACTATGATTTTTTAGTGCCTAGATATCCTAGTTTAGTTATAATGTTGTTGAATGATTTATGTTAGTCTCCAAATATTTGTGTATAAGTTATAATACTATTTCAATAATTAAAACTGTATAAAAGTGGTGTTAATAGTGTGTATTTTTTACATAAATACATATTTTTGAGCAATTATAATACAAATTAAATTAGTGTTGAGTTCCTTGTGTTGTAATAGCCATTGTCAAGCCTTTTTGTTGTTCTTATTTGATAGTGGTTTAACATCTGTTGAAAAACTTACATTATTAGCATAAGTATTATATATTCAGAAAATTATAAGCCAGTTTTTCTATTTTATGAATTTTTTTTTTGTTTCAAATTGTTATAATTTGGATCATTGTAAATCAGACTGATAGTATTTGATTTGATGTTTATTCTTAAATATTCTTAAATGTTTATTCTTAAATATTTTCAAATCAAATACTATCAGTCTGATTTTACAATGATCCAAATTATTTTCAAATCAGTTTTTAGAAACTCAGATTTTTTTAAGTTTCAAAATTTTTAATAAATGTTTTCCTTTCTTGTTTAATTAATATTTATATTATTGTTATGATTTTCTTATATTTTGAATTTAGTGTATAAAACTTCCTAAAGTAAAGCATATTTGTTCTTCTATTCTTGAAATTATTTAACAGTAAATAATAATTTATTATAATTTAGTATTGTTAATAAATACTGTTTATATATTTGTGTGACAGTTTTTGATTTCTGAAGACAGCTATTTACATTTGATTTAATTCATATTAAAAATTTATATTCATTTTATTAAACATTTGATATTTATGAATTAAACGAAAAGAATAAGTATTTTGTTTTTATCAGTGAAATAAGATTTAAAGCCTGAAATAATGAAGACACAAGTGAAGAGTTAACTTTTCTTGCTTCCTGACTACTAATATCTTTAGAAATTGCAATATATAATAATTAATAAAATATAATTAAAATATTATAATGAATGTTTAATAAAAGTTATCGAAATTATAGAGAAGAAAAAGAAAGGTGGATAAGATCTAAATATGAATTAAAAGAATTCTTAGCATCAACAAATTCTTCTATGACAATTGGACAGGTGAGATTTTACTACTTAAAAAATTTTAAATAGCAAATTATAAATGCTCTAAAGTAAGAACTTAACGATAAAATATATTACGCCAATTATATATTTATTTTTTTGCAATCTCCCAAAAAAAAAATTATTTGCAGAAATTTCTTACTTTTAAATGTAGTGATAANTTTCTCTTTACAAAATTATAAAATGTACTAAACTTACTAAGAGTTTGAAAATTTATTCCAAAAATAAGAAAATGATAATTTCTTAAGATTTTGCAAATTTGTCTCCAAATACCTGCACTTGTACAGAATTTGTATTATTTGTACAGAAAATAAATATTTATAATAATCAATGAAAAATAGAAAGCTAGTTGTCTAACATGACGTATAAGAAAAGTCAATGATCTGTTAAATTAAATACACATTGAGCTGATCAAAAAGAAATATTATATATGATAAAATTCTACAATTTGTATAATTTACTTTTGCCAGAAAGAGTTTTTTTTTGAGGAAAGAAAAACTCTGCAGTTTTTTGTAAATATGTAATTATAATATATAGAATAATATATTATTTTCATTCTTTCTATTACATTTCTTCATCTAGTCTTCCCCAGTTTATGTAAAGGGGACCACAATCTTACGAACTTGCAGCATACATCATGTTATAATCAATTCATGTTCTCACTGTGTGCTTTTGTACAAATTAGTTTAATCTGTATGATGTGTGTTTGGTTTTGTAATTTGTATAATAATTGCACCTTGTTATTGTGTACATGTCATTTCAATGTTACAAATTATATAATTTTTTTTCTTTTTTTTTCAAATAAATGTACTAAATACTGGATGTTTTTCTCGTATCTTTATTGTTTTATTTACAATTACAGAATATTAAAAGCAGAAAAACTGTGTAATTATTAATTTATAATTAAAAATTATGTTATTTATTACTTAATTAACCCTTTACAAGTTCATTCATAAAAATTTTAAAGGATGTTTTAAATTCAAACAGATGACCTACTACTGTTTCCCATTAAACTATTAAACACAATTTACAAACTTTAAAAGTCAGCAAACTTTTCATTAACAAGCATTCAATTATTGGAGATAAGCTAATAACAGGTATTTTAAAACTTTTTCATATTCTATAGATTTTAATTTATACATTAGATGATGTGTTGTCATGCAGTTATGTTCTTTTTCCTGGCAAAGCGTGTGTGTGTGTGTATATATAGTTAAACTTTTAAAAAGAAACATCTGTCAGCAGAATCTATTGAATAGAAACTATTCAAAAAAATCAATAAAAATCATAAGTATCCAGAAATCATTCCCTAAAATGTGTCTTCATTATCTGTATATCTTGGACAAAAAAATAAATGGTTTTTTCCTAAAACAGAAAGAATTGAGAATTTTTTTGCCTAGTAGATTGTTAGAATAGTTGTATATGTGTATTTTTAACCAACAAGTTAGTTGTTATATATTGATACATGAAGCCTCCTGTAACAACAATAAAATTTCATTGTAACTGTTTTAACAAATTAAATAATTCTGTTGGGAATATTTCTTTATTCATAAGAAAATTTAGGAGGAAATTTGTTCATTTTATATAGTTTTTATTGTGGTTTAAAGTTTTTAAAAATTGATTTTATGTTTACATTTTAGTTAATAATATAAAATTAAGAAAATTATTTTAAATATTACTTCCATTTGCAAGTTAATTTCTTTTATAAATTATTTTAAAGTTAATTTATTTCATGGTAACTTTATTCTAAAATTTAGCAAATGATTTTAAATTTGTTACATGTTCAGTTCTAAAGTTGAACATAGTCCAAATCAAAAATTTTTTTTTTATCTACATTGTATTTAAGCTATTTGTAATTTTTCTGCATCTTATGTTTGGAAAGATGATTCATTACACACTGCATTAAATATACTTAAAAGTTAAATGGCTTATTGGGATATTCCTGATTTCCAGGTTTTTAGCTGTCATATATTAACTGCCTTACCCAGCAATTTGAATACCTGGGCCTGTAATTGGTATATAGTCTGGGTCTAAATTTTTTGCCAGTTTGATACTTACATGGACTTGCACTTTAGAGTCGAACTATCTATATATCATTCATTTTGTATTTACTGCAGAAGAATAGCCATTTTGTAATAAATGGTGATTTGTTACAAAATGATTTGCAGCAGTTTGGTCTTTTAAACTATTGTATCATATCAAGTTTTGTACATTCTCAAATCAGTGTATATTATAAGTATCAACTTCATTAATAAATCTTGACTTGATTTTTTGAAATGCTTATAAATTTAGGCACAATAAAAGTTTAAATTTTAAATGCTCTGTTTTTTTTATAGTTGTAACCACGTTCATTCATTTTCACAATTAAATTTATATATATAGTTTTCATATTAGTAATAAAGTGAAAGCACTAATAGTAACATGGATTCAATTTCTTCAGAATAGTATATGAGAGACAGTTCTTTGTAATATATTAATTGTTTACAAGCTTGATGGAGGATATATAAATCCATTTGACTTTAACATTTATGAAATGAACAAAATGAATTTTTTTTTCCTTTTCAGATTTTTCTCCAGTTTTCTATGTGATCTCAATTGTTGAGAAAATCCTAGGTATAAAAATGAAAAGGCTATATCACGGTATACGCGCACATTATTTCCAGATATCAAAATGTTTAAAAAAAATAATCAAATGCGCTCTTGACTTCAAAAGACTGCCTTATAGATCATTTACATATATTCAAAAAGAAAACAGTAGGAAAAATCTATAATAGAAAAGCCATAAATACGGTTGCTGGTGCATATGAGCTGCCTTTGTGCAAATTTTAAAAATCCTTTTACTTGAAAGTCATGTAATTTTAATTGATTACGAAAATCACAAGATACAAGACAGATTGGTGTGGGAAACAAAATTAAAGTGATATTGAATACGACAGGTTTGAACTTGTCAACATTCCATATCCAACCAATCAATTTTAATTCTGAAGGTCAAATGAGGCAATTGGTGGCAACAGCAATCGATGTTAATGTCATTGTAATTTTGTCATAAACATGCATCCCGTTAACACCATACCAGATGCTGGATTAAGAAAGAAGAGGCTCGACATAAACATTTTGATATCTGGAAATAATGTGCGCGTATACCATGATTATCGCCCATGAAAAATTTCTGGGAATTTTTCGGAATCATAGGTCACCCGGACAGTAGACCGATACCTAAACTGTCTTGGCCATAGGGCCAGAATTGGGCTTTATGGTAAAAAAAATTACAAAATTAAATTTGCTGTAACAGCAACAAATGTTATAAGTTGATCACTTTAAATTTATACAGGAACTTCCCTACTTAAGAATTTTCGGACTTAAAAAATTTGGCTGTACGTCTAAAACTTAAATTTCATATGTTCTTGCTGGTCGTGGGGTGGTGTTAAACCCAGTCTTTAACCAGTAATAGAAATAAATCCACTTTAATTATTTATCGCATATCGTCAATTTTTTGTTTTTGCGCGAATTATGACATTCTATTGCCAGTGTCACAGTTGGTAACGTTGGACTAACGGTGTTTTTCACTGTTTGCAATTTTTATAAACTTTTACGATTAATGCTTCAGAAATGCGTAATAGTAAATTCAGTAGTGGAAATAAATGCGTCGCTCTTTTACCGTGGAAACTAAACATTTCGCTATAAAAGTAAGCACATTAGGTAAAAAAAAAGAAAACTGTGTTTGAAACATTCCTTCTAAGTAGTAGATAAATTTTAGAAAATAAAGAATCTGAAGTAAATGAATGCAGGCAAACCTTACAATAAACTAACATATTTCATACATATTACATGTTTTCCACATACAGCTTTCTCCCATAAAAATTAACCTTGGTTTTTAAGACCTAAGAGTCAACAGAATTTGAATTGCAGTGTAATAATAATAATTTTAAAAAACCAGCAAAGAATTGCGTAACTTTCCAGGCAAAAATTAAAAATTAGTGGTGACATTTGTTATAAAAACGTTTCTTTAATAAAATATAATATGAAATGGCAAAAGATTTAATTTTGAGAGTAGAGACGAATTTTATAAAAAAAAAAAAAAAATTGTAAATGCCAATAATGAGTAATTAAGCACGACCCCACTCCAGATATGACACATGACCACCACGACCTTTACTTGAAGTTTAGAAATTAATGTTAAAAGCTCCAAATAAGTTAACAAATTTATCATATTTGAAAGAATCTACATTCTACAAGTTAACTGTATTTCAAGAGGAAATTTTTGAAAGTTCACATGGTGAAAGTTATACCAACATCTCTAAACCCGATATATAATATAGCTAAATACCAACCAAATGCCGATTTCGGCATTTGGTTGGTATTTAGAAAGTTATACCATTCTTTCGCTTCATTGTTAATTCGTTGCTGTCTTAGTAAAGCGTATTAATCGTTCAACATAATAGATCAGCCAGTTGCTGGAGTTGGTAGGCAGCTGACCTCACATGATGTTTTAACAGACAAAAACGTCAAGAAACAATGACGATGGACAATTTTTTTTTACAGAAACATGCCAACTCAAGATATTAACTTTAATGTACAGTACAGTACCATAGCACGATGATCTGTGTGACGATTCGTAAAAGAAACAAATTTTTATTCTGTTGTGTTATTCTTAATACAATTTTAATTACTGGTATACACAATATAAACCCAATTTCAGCGACGGCCGGATGGCCGAGCGGTCAAGATGGTAGCCTACCGCTCTGGGGAATCCGAACGGGTCAAAAATTCGTAGGAATTTCTCGGGGGTGATTCGACCAGATATATTGGGCTCCGTCCCTCACCACCATTGTGGACCAGGCCGAATCTATAATTGGCTTACTAAAAGAGGGCTCACACGGCGGAAAGATTAGTATAGAAATAGAAGACCCGACACACTATAAATAAAAAAGAGAAGGAATGTTAATTAGAAAAAGATTTCTGGAAAAATTTTTAACGTTTCTTTTTCTCTTGAAGAACCACTGGCATGGAAAAACAACATATTTTTTCTGCTCCATCTGAATATTTTT